GTTGGCAAATATCGTAAATTGACTAATATATCGGCATATATTTAAATACTAAATCCAAAGTACAATTTAACTATTAAATTTAAATTATCAGTTAACTCGGCTTCGGACTATTCGAAATTCTAATACGTAACAATACCTTTTCCTCTTTTGCTGCTAGCTAGGAGGTATCAGCTCCTTGATGCTCAAGACGAGACGTGACATTTTCGTTAAGTCAGCCAACTTAAACATTGGTACTGCATGATTGTCTGCACGTGCTTCATCTATGTACATTATTAGCTAAGCAAGTGCGATGTCTTGAAACCTTCTGTACGTGTTTTCTAGAACAGCACCTGAGAACAATCGACCTGCTTTGTTGTACAATGAAATCGGGCACTTCTCGTGGTAAACTGCCTCTTGTTATATCAGGTCTCCACACTTAGCTTACCAAGAAGTATAGTATCCTACAAGTCTAGAACATGTTTTCGAAATCTTCTGTCCATAGTGAAGGTGGAAGCTTCACGAAGATCACCCAAGGCCTCTCCACAGAATAAACATTTTCAGCACTGTTGTGTAATATTGTCTGGAGTATCATGTTGTTCATCATCAGCACTTTTTTCTGATATTTCTATGTATATAATGCTGAACTTATTCCTGCAATTTGTTTGCTACTTAGCTTTATGTTGTTGTAAAGTTTCTGTAATGTCACTTCAGACAGAGAATCTAATTTAATTAACATTGGAAAACACCTAAACGAATATTCTTTCCAGCGTTTGGTATTGTATGTCAACGTCAATATCTGATCGTCGAGCATCAGCTGGACATGGCAAGGCTTCAGACGTTGCTTTTTGGCATAATACGCATTTTGGCCAGTATAATAAACTCAGTTTTTGTAAGGGTCCAGGTGTTTCCTAGTCTATTATCTAACATGTTTATGACATTGTTGAAGTTATTAATTTTCTATTGCGATTGTCTAAATGTCTACATTTAATGTAATTCACCACTAAAATAAGGTAGAAAACACTGTTAAATATGTTACCAAGCAATATAATACAATTCTGCACTTCAGAAGTCTAGTTTTGTGGGAAAATTATGTATTAAAAAGACTTATAGCTTATTTTTCTAGAAGTAAATACGAAAAATTTATCTACATTGCGGCCATCTTGAAAATATAAATTGATTCGTATCTGATATTGTTTCAGTATTTCAATACTCTATATATGTGCCAAGTTTGGTGCTTTGCCTGAAAACCCTGGTTTTCACACTATGTTATAGAACTAGAGAGCCAAGGTCGCCTTTTATCAAATAAGAATATTTAAATAACTGCTGGAAAAAAATTAAGAGATAATGATTTTTTATAAATATTAAAACAAAAAGACCCAACAAAACATACACTGATATAAATTATTTAACTTACAAAATAAATAAATAAAAAGTACAAGAAGGAAAAACTGAAACAAATAACAAATATTCTCTAACTTTCGCACTAGTTGGTGAAATGTTCACTAACCTCAGATATTTGTCCTTCATCACTTGGAGTTGATTCTTTAAACCCAGAAAGTATAAGCTCAGAGAATACGATAGGAAAGTAAAGCATCTGCAAAATAAATTCTTGTGGAGGGGTCCAAAAACTGTCCTGGGAACAAATATTGTTCTCATGTAACTATGAATATTGTACAATTTCAATATTTAAACAAATGTTTATACAGAGCATTCTTATCTTATGTCTGCTTTTCCAGCAATAGAGTATATATATATAAGTTATATATATGAACACAAATAGCAATAAATATAGTATTAAAAATAAATAAAAATAGTCAGCTATTTATAAAAAAAAGATACATGTTACTTGGAGGCCGAGTATTTAAACCATTTATATATGTGTGTGTGTATGTGTGTCCTTCTTTACTCGTAGGGGCGTTATAATGTGACGGTCAATCCAACAATTCGTTAGTAAAAGAGTAGCCCAAGAGTTGGCGGTGAGCGGCGATGACTAGCTGCCTTCCCTCTAGTCTTTCACTGCTAAATTAGGGACGGCTAACGCAGATAGTCCTCGTGTAGCTTTGCGCGAGATTCAAAACAAACAAACAAACAAGCCTTCTTCACTTGACATCAGAGAAGAGATAAGTTAATATATTTGAAACAAATTTTATACAGTTTGCAATAATGATAATAGAAAAATACATTTCCCTTTTTATTCAATATTTAGTTTGTATACTTGTTTATTTCTATAGATTTTATTATAAATATAATTTATACTCACTTCCCAAAATACATGGTGTAGAATTGATCTGTATGAAAACAGACCACAAAGACTTAGGAAGAACCAGAAAATTAATAAAATACCAGACGATTTTTTCCCGTCTCGTTTCCCCTTAATTAGCAGAAATAATACCAGAAGCTGTAAAGAGAAAAAAGTTACATTACGAAAAGAAAAATACCTATGAAAAGAAAACATGGCAATAATATTAAAACTGAAACCTTAAATAATATTAATGCTTTTGTAAAATACGGAAATGTTTTAACCCTACAATATTTCGTGACACTATCTTTGGTTAGTTGCTTAGAGGACTTTTAATTGATGTCATGATAGAATAGGATAAAAGTTTGCAATACCCTTTGCTATGCTAAGAGATATAGTAGGTAAATTTTATTTCGTCATTGGATTTTAGATAATAATGTGAATTCACTCTATAGATTATAAAAATGATCCAAACGTTTAGAATAATAATCTATATATATAAATTAATTAATTAGATAACTCTTAAAAGAACACGTTTTTGCCATGAGAAGTTAAAACACTAGCAGATTTCTTTGATAGAGAAAGCTATTCACGTATATAGTGTTTTCGATAAACTCTAGAGATTAAAATAAAATAATTTGTGGATTTTTAAGAGTGGGATTAGTTTGAATTAGGCTCTGTTTCATTTAAGCCTTAAATGTAATACTCATATTTTGAAGTTGTACAAATTAGATTAGTTTATAAAGCCAAACACAAAACAGAAAGCACATATAATTAGGCCATCAACAGCATCATGCCTAGAAATCTGCTAACATTTTGTGTAAAACATTCGTGAAACAGAATTTCAAGAGCATCGCAAATCTTTATTCTACGATTTTTGTGAAAGTTTAAGTTAATTTTCGGCGCGTCAAATATAGTAAAACTAAAATGCGTGATGATTTTTACTAAAATTTACAGTTTTTGATCTAAAACAAACAAATAAATGAAACTATTTTTATGTAGAATATGAATAAGTTGCTAAAGTAACAGGATATTAAATTTCAAAACATCGACTACACTGATATAGCGGTCCCTCCCAGGGCACAGCAATATGTCTGCGGACTTACAACGCTAGAAACTGGGTTGGCGCAGCACAGATAGCTCATTGTGTAGGTTCGTGCTTAACTACAAACAAATCTGATATAGTGTGTGCTAAACAAATAGCGCTATTATAGCGTGCGATCTATACAGATGCTGTCATAATCACCGTTTTAATGAGTCACTAAAACATAATTTCTTCCTAAATAATTTATATCTATCCACGTATTTCTTCAACAAATAATAATACTTTAATAAGTTGTGTGTTCCAAAAGAGTACCTTAAATTTAGGTTATAATTGTGCTAGTTTTGATTGTTAGAATTTATTTCATTCCGATTATATTTGCCCCCAAAACTTTATGTAATGGTATTTTGTACTTTATTAGTTTAAAAAGCGTTGTTTATAATAAATGGCGACAAATAAAACGGGGATGATCATAGTATGTGTGTAGACTGCACCCTGTAGTGTAAACATTTTTGTAGACCGCAAGTTATAGTAGCACCAAACAAAAAGCATCATATAGTCAGTATTGTTTAAAATAAATCTAATGTTTATACCAGTGATGCAACAACAATCTCTTCTTGCGTGGCCCGGCATGGCCAGGTGGTTAAGGCAATCTGAGGGTCGCGGGTTCGAATCCCCGTAACACCAAACATGCTCGCCCTTTCAGCCGTGGGGGCGTTATAATGTGACGGTCAATCCCACTATTCGTTGGTAAAAGAGTAGCCCAAGAGTTGGCGGTGGGTGGTGATGACTAGCTGCCTTCCCTCTAATCTTACACTGCTAAATTAGGGACGGCTAGCGCAGATAGCCCTCGTGTAGCTTTGCGCGAAATTCAAAACAAACAAACAAACAAAC